AAAGTAGGAAGAAATCTGTTATGCATAATTTTGTAAGTTTTAATTTCTTCCTTTAATTCATTTGTATCTAAATTAATTAAAAAATTAAATATAAAAATGTAATATTTTTTTAATTTAAAATAATTTAACTTTAAACAATTTGACTTTAATATTAATACTATTACTATAGAAATATAATTAATATGTAACGATATAATAATGTTAAATAACGATATATAATGTTAAATAAATTTGTAACAATATTTGATACTAATAAATTAAAATGAAATATAATATCAAATTAAAAATTTGTGGAATATTTAAATTATACATACAAAATATCCTGGATAACAGCCATGATTTTTTAAAAACTTCTGAATAGTCTAAGTAGTTTGGAATGTGGTTTCGAATAAAAATGAATCAGTTTTTTATCGATTAGTTTTTCTAATTTTTTAATATAATTTTTTTTCGAAGAAAAATTGATTTTAAATTAATTAAATTTTAAAGTTAAATACAAATTATTATATTAATATCTATATTAATTTTAAACTTTATATTATATTTTATTATGTTATTATTTTATTATTCAAAGTACAGTACAAATTCAACGATCTCTATCTTATTATTAATTTATCTTATGATTAAAGTGAAATATAAAATCAATGAATAAAAAAATATTTTTTTGAAAAATTATTTTATATGTTATATATATAATTAAAATTTACATTTAGATACTGGAGAAAAATAAATTTTATGAAAATAAATAAAGAACTTGATTAAGAAATAGTGCTCAGTACAGATGCTCTATTAAATATTTTAATTATTTTTACATATTTATGAAGAATCCATATAATTTATAACATAATATACTTATATAATATAAAATAGATAATATATTCATTAATATAAAAAAGAATAAAAAAGTATTAAAACGGTATTCATTTTATTTCTTTAGAATAATATTTCACTAAAAATATTGAAACATCCGTGAACTGAAGATTTTTACGGTAATTTTGAACATTTTTCTTTGCAAAAACTTTCGTTATAGCTTTGTTAACAAATTATTAACAAAAAACACTGGCTAATGACGGAGTATGTGCTTAATCGAGCCACGACAATAGCGTTAACTACATGTTGTTGTGGAATATTAGATAATATTATATGAACATGATATTATATGAACATAAATATAAATATTTTTTTTATCGATAAAATTGTATCAAATTATATCATGAAAAAAACTATAAATTATATTTAATATATATTTTCTTCGAGATACATTGCTTGTGTTCGATCGCCGATACATAGTCAATATTACTATACTATATATTACTTATATTATATATTATAATATATTATATACTTCATTATGTTCTATACATATATTTATAAAATTTCATTATAATTGTTATTCTTCAAATAAAATAATTCAATATAAAAAAAAGTTTCAACTTTTTATTCTTTAAAGAATATTAAAAAGTTTTTTCATGAATTTTTTTAATGAAATTTTTAATAAATTTATTTTTTAATAAAAATTTCTTTAGCAAAACATTGTTTTTAAAAAAAATGAAACGAACGCCTAAAATATTTTAAATTACTATTTTTTTATTCTCTATTATATTGTTTCTCATATATTGTTTTGATAATGATAAGATAGAGAAAATTTTAAATTATAAAATGTTTAATTTTTAATTCTTTATGATTTTGTTGTGAAAAATATTTCGAGATGAAATTGTATTCAAAATTTTAAAAATATTGAAATTTTGCATTCAAAAGATTTTTATTTAAAAAAAAAGATTTTTTGTCTAAAAAAATTGATAAAAAGATACGAAAAACAATATTTTTTTGATATACCTATGTAGCCCAATCGTATCTCATCCTCGATCGGTAAAATATTCAAGATCGATATTTATCGATATCATGATTTTCTTCCGTTTGTTCTTTCGCTTTTCTCGTTCACTTTTCTTGTTGCCGCTTGTTACTTTTATTGTTCTGTTTGCATGACTGCCTTCTTTTCTATCCTTTGCATATAGAATGTAATAGGCGTGTATAACAGCTGGAGATGCATCATAGGGGAGAAGACAGACTCGATACTCTATTATACGTATTTCGATTTTGCACTTTAGATCTTACTATAATATCCCTTTGTAATTATAGCGGTAGAATTCTCTCTTATTACACTTTTTCTCTCATATACTTTTCTCTAATATTATACGGTTTTTCATTTCTCTTCATTATATCTCTTATATTTTCTTCAATTTTCTTAAACTTCTCTTTATCAATTGCTCTTTCCATATGCACGTTGTAATCCTGTGGCATGACTATTCAATTCCAAAAGAAAAAAAAAAAACATCAAAAGTGTGACGCAGTGTCAATTCAGTTTCAATGCGTACACTCCTTTTAAAATAAATATTTTTTACAATTCTCGATCCTTGTCGATTTACATGATTACATGATTAAGAATGAAAAAAAATTCATATTCTTATATTATCTTATAATATAAATAGCATTGATTGCGTTTACGCTTTTTCTACCACTTACAATTTGCAAGCAGCTAAGAGAGCTTAATTGGAAGAATTTATGCAGTAATTTCATTAAATTCCATTTATGTTGCGTGTTCGTTGATGAGAATCTTATAGATGTTCGTGTTCGTTAATTTTACAATATTAATTTGGAATATGTGAAATGTAATTGAATATATAAATATTATATAGAATAACTTTAATTATATAAAAAAAGAATAGTATATAGAAGAAAATTTATATTTATAAATTTTATGTATTTTTATATTTATAATGCTTTCTTTGGTAAGTATATAGTTATAGTAAAAAAATATATAAAAAATATAAAAATAAAGATATAAAAATTAAAGAAAAAATGTTGGTAATTATAAAAAATTAATCATATAATCAAATATTTCTAATTATGATCTAATATTTATTCAATAATGTATATTTAATTTGTAAATAAAATTAATTATTCAATTTTTACTTTCTTAAAACAAAGCTGTTTTGTTTTAATATTCCCATTTTATTTCAAAAACAATCTGATCAAATAAAAAAAATTCATGAGCGTAAATAGCATTGCTTGGTTAATATAATAAATCATTTTTTCTAGAATTATATGAAATCTAGACTGACACGGCAAATGCTTTAATATTGCAGAGTAACAAATCTTGCACATTCATCTTTGCAACATTATTGATTACATTTTTGAACGCGTATTGAAATAAAAAAAATATAAAAAACACAAATGTGAGTTTTATTTTAAAATAAATAATTCGGCTAATTTTTTATTTTATAGAGAATCAAGTTGATTCATGTTTAAACAAGAAGTTCAAAATAATGACAAATCAAATTGTAACAATAATATAATTCTTCCGAAAGAAATAGAATAATATATTCTTTTATACTATTATTATGATTCTGTACGAATATAAAGATTTATGAGTTCTTGTTTTCACGGATCTTTCATTCATTTTCAAATCTTTCATTTTATAACATCAAGTAAAGAAAAGGGAAAGTAAATTATTTGTTTTATTATAATATAAAACAATTGTTCGTTATACGAATCAAAATTATATATAATACTGTAAATAAAAGAAAATAACCCAACATGAACATGCGTACGTGTGCGCATTGATGGGATAGATAAGACTGCAAACATTTATGATGAACAACACATAAATGTAGAGAATTGTGATAATATATTTTGCGCAGACGCACAAAAACTAACCTAATTATAATAACATATGCTAGTTAGAATTCTTGTGAGAAAATAGTCGCATATAATGCGTTTTATAATATATGGAGAAAAATGCATGAATGAATAGAAGAAAAAAATAAACAAAACATAAAAAAAAAATACAAAAAAAATAAGAATAGTGTGCAATGCTATAAGAAAGTGCGATACTTTAACAAAACAATGGATAACAAAGAGTATAAAATTCTTATTTGTCTTTTTCTCCCCCTTCACTCATATTTGTTGTTATTGTTGCGTCATCATCTTTTTCCTCTTTCTTTTCTTCCTTCTCTTTTTCCTTTTCTTTATGCTTAAATTTATTATCTTTAAACGATCAATTGGTTTATTTTATAATATATTATGGGAAATATATGTCTAACATGTCTGATATATATATATCTGATATAAACAGCATAATATCTTGAAAAATATGAAAAAATGTTTCATTCAAAAGTTGTATGGTATCGAGAGGCAAATATTGTGATAATAAGTTAATCTTGGGATAACTTTGAATTGTTTTGTGAAGATCGAATTTTTAAATGAAACTCTATATTTCCTTAGTGCATATCTTTGTATTGAGACGTTTGAAAATATTACTTACGCATTTTTTTTTCTTTTTATTGAATTATTAATTTTGAAAGTTTACGTGCCATGGGCACTATTCCTGTAAACTGCAAAGAGATTACTTAATCAGATTTTGTATATTATTGTAATTTTAGAAAGAAAAATCAATTTTGTATGCGTGGCACGCGCGCGTGTATGAGAGAGAAACTATCCTTCGCAATCTTTCATTATTAAAAATATATTTCTGTGATCTGCGTTGAAATTTTTCTTTAATATTTCAGCTATTATTTTTTTATGTATAGTTATTATTTCATGTAATACGATAAATTTCGATTGAATTTTCAACCGGTAAATTTTATTTTATATATGAGATCAGAAATTGTATGACTAAAAATCTGGCGAATTCGATGCCCATTTCGATCGCCACATTCAATTTAATAAAATATAACAATATAAACTTTGAAAATGAATAATTCAATAACGGCTTTAGAAAAATATATGCGTAAGCAATGTTTTGAAAACATCTCAATAAAAATAAATTAGAAGAATATAATAAAGAATATACACTTTTACTTAAACATTTAAATACGATACATTTCACAGAACAATTCAAGATCATTCCAAAATTAAACATTTATTATTATATGCCATATAACTTTCATATGAAACATTTTTTTGTATTAATCATATTTTTCAAGATATTTTGCTGTTTACAGATAAACCGGACAGACTGTATATATGAAGAATACGAAGGAAGTGCACCATACTTGTATTATGCAGATCATTTCGCGATATGGACTATTCATTGCGAATCATTTTAGAATTTATATGGTAAGTACGGACCCCAGCTACATACGAGCGATGTATTATTATTTTATATATTGAAAGGTCCGCTGATAACATTTGTTCATCATTAATTGTTCATGGGAGCAGTTCTTCATGCTGCATTGAGAACAGAGAACTCATTCTGTAAAATATGCGTATAATAATTAGATGATGATAATTTAAAAATGTACGCGAAAGCATGCTTCTTTCGTTATTTTTTATGTACACCGAACTATATCATTGTTACAATTGGATGTGCTTCAAATTATTCTTGATAAGTATTACTGAATCTTTCTTCAGGTTTGCATAATAAATAGTATGGAATTTTAATTATTGTATATTTCATTGCATGATTTGTCAAATATTATTAATTCTATTAGAAATAATATAATTTTCTATATGAATAAAACCATGAATATGATAATAGTTTGTATTCCGGTAACTTTCCATTAATTATGAACTTTTGCAGCTATTATTGTGTTCATTTTTTAATGACAAATGTAAATATGAGATCTTGCTGTTCGATTGAGAAATTTGATTGAAGATTTATAAAACTTTTAAATTTGATGAAAAAATTTATTAGTTTGCTTATTATATCTGTATTTGTAATAAAATCCATCTTGAACATAGATTGGATTATTAGTTCTGTTACAATCTTATATTCTAGATATATAATCTAGATTGAAGACTAATTATCTATTGTTGATACTTTTTGCATCTCTGAGTCTCTAAAGCATTTTTTAAATTTTTGTAGATATATTATTTATAATTTGTTCATCTTCATAGTATATATTTGATAAGAGATGCGTCTGTTTTTTTTTTTTTTCATGTTTTTGAGTCATGATTGGCTATATTCTACACGGTTATAGAATATATATTATTTTAATAATATTTTAAACAATAGATTTTAGAGTAACCATATTTATTGACTTTTATACATTATATTGATTATATAAATATATCTTTTTTTAGATTATTTAATTTTACTTATTACATTTACTTATTATTTAAGATTATATATTGATTTGAGAATAAAAAAATAAAAAATAGTTATTTGCTTATTTATTTTTGTGTTTGACAATATTCATGTTTGATAATATTTCTGACAGTATATATTTTTGCAACTAAATGCTCTATTATTTCACTTACCAACGAAATAAATTTCTGATAATTAACTTATATGATCTATTCTGTTCTAATCAATAAATATGATAGAAAATATTTTTGCCATGAAACAAAATTTTGACAAATTTATCTTGACTATGTTATTTTCTAAAGTTTTTGTACAAAATTGTTCTTTTTATATAATTATATCAAATTTATCAAATTTATCGGTTTAATAATTGTTAAAAACAAAATCAGAATTGACTTATGAAGCGACTAGACAGCTTAAATTTTATTTTTTTACTTAATAATTCCAACATTTTTAACAGTTTAGGTTTTAGCAATAATTTACGAATTGATAGTTCCTTAATATTTTTCAAATCCTCAATAACAGTCTAAGATATAACAGCAATAACAGCCATTTCATAAATCATATTTGCGCAACTTAAATACTTTGCAATGGACCACTATAGAAACAGTCACAAGTATCTTGATCTCCATGCGCTGCAATACGATCCAAAAGTTGATCCTTCAAAACTATTCTTTAATGCGACTATTTTGTCAATATATAACTGGATAACATATATTTTATGCATTAAAAAAACCTCAAACACAAATTTCTATTGATGCTATTGTATATGTCGAATGTTATCGTTGTATGTTTAAATAATAGATTTTAAATAATATAGTCATCAAAATCCAATTTTTTTAACAAATTAAGTTTAATAAATTAAAGTTTATTATGAATCTCTTATACTTTCTTGTTTTCATTATGATAATGTTGTTTTCTTATATTTTGATAGTGTTTTGTAAAAATACTTTTGTAATAAATGGAATTTATCCAATTTATCAAATTCTAGAGATATAATAATTAATTGGGCTCATAAATATGATTTATTACATAGTTCAAATAAGAATTGATTTAAATATTAAAAGTAATTATATAGAAAAACTATTATTTTTCGATGATTTTTGAAATTATATATTTTTAATTTTTTTTAATATATAATAAATACGAATTATAAAACTGATATCATTATAACAATTATTTTAATTCTAGTCGTTCAAGAATTATTTTCTTGAAAGACTTTCTGAAAAGATTCGAAAAAAAAACCAAAAATTCGAAAAATTCAAATTTTTTAGTTTTTTTAAAATAAATCTAAGTGTAATAAAGCATATTAAAGAATAAAATAAATTATTATAATAAATTATATTAAATATTATATATAATAAATAATATATATAATATTCCATAGAAAGTTTTAACAACATACAAATTTTATATTTTTTTTATTAATTAACAAATTTTTTTGAATATTAAAAATCGAAATTTAATCATTCTTTTCTTTTTTTTATAAAAATAATTAAAAATTCTTAAAATTTGAAATGTGAAAATATCTAAATATATTATTCATAATTTTTTGCAGGAGGAATATAGTCAGCGTAGACGTCTATCTACTCCGAGCGACAGTCCCAGTCCTCCTAGAACAACGAGACTTTCTAGATCTACAGGTACATTGACTAGAGAAGAGGAATCCTTTTGCGAATCAAATAACACTCTCACCAAAAAAAATCAAGGGCAGGAAGCTGAGAGAAAGGGTTGGTTTAAATCTCTGTCTAGGAAGAATAAATCGAATATCAAAGTGAGTTTTAATTCCCATGATATATGTTATCTTTCTGCGTATGATATATTCATATATTCAATTGTACAAATTTTGTACAATTTTGTATCAGAGTAACAAATATTAAAATAAAAATATAAAAATATCATTGAATTCACATAAAAAGAATGGCAATTTTAAAACATTTTAATAAAATTTTAATAATTTGAATATCAATACTAGAATTTCAATTTAAAAAGAAAAATAAAAATGAAAAAGGTTAAAAATATTTATTGTTATAATGTTATTATTACAAAAAGTAATATTTTAAAAATTAATACATGAATAAGTTTATAAAAAATAATGAAATGTATTGCAACTTTGATAATTGATTTAATTTGAAATTCAAAATTTTATTTTAGTTTATACATTTTTTTGATAAATTGGTTTATTGTTGTGAAAGATCATAAATGATATAATATATAATATAACATATAAATATAATATAATAATAAAATAATAAAATAATAATAAAAAATAATCTAATGTATAACATCACTTGAGTATTTATGAATATATCTTTAAGTTAAGAAATTAAAATTAAATTATTTAGAATGTTAGTTCTATAACATATTTACCTTTTTATAAAATTATAAATATAAAATTATATATAAAATTATAAATATAGATATCTTAATTTGAATTTAAATTTGATCATAAGAAACAAGAAATAAAGTATTTATATATTGTTTATTTCTTTATTTTTTATGCAATAAGTTTTTATAATTTATAATTAGTAATTTATATTAATTATTAATATAATAATAATAATTAATAAAATTAATAATAATTTATAATTAATAGTTTTTATAATATTTATAATTTAACTTAAAATATCAATTGCTTTTTCAAAGATTTATATAGTTTTTGAATATTTAAATATTTGAATATTATTCACTATATTTAAATTATACGTGTTTAATGCAATTTTTTAATTTATCAATGATCGTTTCTGTATACAGCTCTTGCATTCAGGATTTTCTTTATATTTCAATTATGTTTAAATCAGAAATCTTTTTAGCTAGAACTTATTAGCTTAATTTTCTCTCTTAATAATATTTTCGTTGCAGTATGAACTGAAACATTATTTTGTTAAAATGTGAATTTATTGCTAACAATTCTCGTTTATTTATTTATTAATAAATATAGTTTTTATCATTAAATATTATAATTTATAGTTTTTACTATTACATTTTTTTATTCATTTATTAATAAATATAGTATATTATTCGGTTTCTATAAATTTTACATCTTTCCACTATTCATGTGGTAACAATTCAAAAAATTTTATTTTCAAAATCGTATATTCGATAATTAAATCTAAAACTATTCGATCTATAGACCTCTTTTCATTAATAAAAATTATTCTTTATTACTTTCTTCAAAATTTATAATTTTTATATTTTTTATAAAATTTTTCGCAAATTTATTTTTTATTGTTGCAATAAAAATAATTTTTTCTATAATTTTTTTTCTAAATATATCATATACACATTAAATATTTTTTTTATATTACAATTTAGACTGAATTTTATTACGTTCAGCAATTTGTCTATTTGTTATTATTGAATTCGAATTGTCATTTCCTCTTTAAATTATATTTCTCTAATATTATATTTCGCTAATATTAAATAATTAATAAATGATAATCGACTAGAACTTTTCTTTTTTAGAAAATTTGCAATTATTTTTCTATTTCCATTAAGAATTTTATAATCTTTGCCATGAAATAACATTCTTCAAATAATTTTAATGTCAGATTAAAATTAAAAAAAATATATTTAAGATTCAATTATTGCTTATTTTATTGTTTTAGACTGTGGATAAAAAACCTAGAATACCAGAAAGTGAAATTTTAACCACTGGAACTGATGAAGAAGCCTCGTCCGCACCTGAACGAGTTTCTGTACAAAAGAATTTACGTTTCTTTGGGGACACCGATCAAGAATCAGTTTCATCTAATAGAGATCGCAGGTGATATATATTTTCTTTCTGTTATATTTAGAGGATATCAAAACAGTAACAATTAAAGATTTTAAAAATTATATAAGAAAGTTAATATTTTAAGAAGAAAACATTCATAATGTTTAAAATTAAAAAACTATGGATAAAATATTAATGATTCTTTTTCAACTTATATTTTATAGAAACAAACGAGATGATCATATCTGTTCAGGGCGTGATGTTATGAATTCCAGCCGTTACAATTTGGGTATTCTATCAACACCTCGGAAACCATCGAGACTTACCGAAAGTGCGTTGTCTTCCGGTGAAAGTACAACAGGAGATAGCAGTCAACAAAGTCAGAATTCTCAAAGATCACAGAGATCTGTTGTATACCTTCATGCTGCTACGGGTAATTAACAATTTTTACATGTTATGATAAATTTAATACATTTATAAATTAAATTATAATAAATTTAATATATATGTAATAGTATATATGATGGTACATTTAAATAAAAATAATAAAATATCTCTGAAATTAGCTAGCAAAAAATTGTTTTTACAAAAGTTGTTTAATATAAAAAGATAGATGCGGTAATTATTTGGTTTTATTAGTTATATTGGTTATATAACTAGAAAAGAAATTTCTTTACCAATTTTGATAATTTTTGAATATGTTATAAAGACAACTTTTTTCTATATGTATAAAATCATTGTTTAGTCTTAATGTTTGAGATATTTGTAAAAAAAACTTACTACTTTTAAATAATAAACTTTTTAATAATAAAATTTAGTTTATATGTATATGACTGCGTGTGCGTAAGGCGATTACCATTTATTTATTGTTTCTATAAATACATCGCAGTGAGCGGAATCTAAAATAACACATATAATGAATAGGCCGATAAAAAAACTATTTTGGATTATGATAGATTCAAAATGTCAAAACACACCGAGTTTATATATTATATTATTATCAACATCTTATTTGATATATATAAATTTCGATTGCCCAAAATAATTGATTAATCAATTGATTAATAAGTTAATATATTCTAAAACACATTTGGAAAATAGATTTCAGAGATCAAAACAAACATAAAAATTGATGTGCAAAACTAAAACTTATTTATTATATTCTGTAGAATTGATAATTCATATCCCACAAATGTATTAACATCCTATCTACTAATAATATAAAAATAATTTTATTTAATTAAATATAAAAGCTATTTTAATTAATTAATTATTTATTTGAATTCTAAATATTTCTCTAATTATATTTTATTTAGTGGGTGAAATACCTGGTCCTAATGAGAGACGTAGAGCAGCAAGCAGAGAAGAATTAAATCGGCCACTTCAATCGCACACAAGAACAGTTTCAAGAAGTGTCAGCGTTCTTGCACCTTGGAAACCTAGACATTACAGGGAATCTTTCGAAATAAATTATGATCAACAATTGCATCCAAAATCATTGGCGACAATGAGACGTAGACAAAAAAGTCGTGAAACACTAAATCGTCGGGGAAAAGATACACGACGAAGCAAAGATAATCTCTCAAAAACTGGTAAAAATCAAGCATATAAATGTAGCATGAAATGTGAATAGAAAGTTACAAAAAATTTTATAAATTTTAATATTAATGTATAATTTTAATAATATAAAATAATTTTTATTAAACTAAAAACAATTTTTTTTGTATAAAACTTTATAAAAAATATAAAGAAATAGAAAATAAAAATACATTTTATTTGTGAAAGACATTTTTATAAATATACAGTTGAGATAAAATAAATAAAAAATTTAAGAAATAATAATTTTGGAAAAATAAATAAAATAAACATAAAAATTAATATGTAAAATGGCTCATTGAAATTTATTTTTTAATTATAAATAAGTTAATTAGATGAATTTTACACGAAATGATTTTATTTTGATCTTATTTTATCTAGTATAGAATTAAATTATTGACTAAATAAATAAATTTTCATTAAAGGTTCAAATAAAAAATTATAAAAACTTTTATAATTTCCTTTATGATCCGATAAATTACAATTTTTCAAAAAATTTTTTATATGTTTTGTAATAAATATTTTTAAGTTTTCAAATATTTCAAATTCAAATCATTTATTTTAATTTTAAAAAAGTTATCATGTTTTAAAAAAAAGGAACAATATTTTTTGAAATTATTATATATCTTTTAAACATCCTATATGATAGATTTACAAATTAAATAAATTTTTTTATTTACATCTTATAGCGAGAAATTATATATTATAATAATGAATTAATATTTAATATTTTACTACAGGTACGATCAATCGTAGTACCCTGAAATCAAAAGACAAGCAGAAGGTGGATAGAACTGTTTCCACGGAATCGTTGGCCATCAAATCACGGAGCGTTAACTCGAAACCAGAATTGAGTAGATCTACATCGGTTCCACGTGATCCGAATAAAAGTGCTGGCTGGTTCAAGCTGAAAAGCAAAAAATCCCGAACTTGAAGGAAGGCCATTGATCAATGCTAGTCTTGAATTTTATAAGTAATTTATAATCATAAGTGATTAACAATATGATCGATTTATTATCAAATTATGGAGAATATGATTGAACAAGTTATTATTTTATTTACTGTTTTTTCTAATGTGATTTTCTAATGAAATCCACACCTCAGTGCATAAAAACCGTTTTATAAATAAATAATTCTTATTAACTGAATAAAAGATATTTACAATTTTTTTTGTTTTAATATATAATTATTATAAACAATTAATAATATAAATTTAATTATAATATTAAATCACGAATCGCATTGTGTTTATTATAAATTGTATTTTTTATAAACGAATTATGAAGCCAAATGCGAATTCTAACAAAATGCGAAATTATTTAAATATATGTGACATTATTAAAAATATTATCTTTTAGTTGTTTTATTGATTAATAAACTATCC